CCCTCACAGGCAGCAATTAGGCTAAATAATCAGCGCTAATTTGACGTTTACCGTCACAGCCCCCTTCCAGTCTGGACCTATAGGGTCCTCGACGATAATTCCATTAGCGCTGCCCTTTCCGAGGAGGAGAAGAGGAAGGATAATAAAGGGTTATAGTCCAAGTGATGTTAAATTTGTACTTTATTGTACGACAGGGCGATATATCGGCGGCCCTGCCCACGGGGGCAGGGCATCATCACATAGCTGGTCTCGGTGGCAGTTCCTGGCCCTGGTCGTCCAACGGGGGTCGACCGCGCGCCTCCCACCCCAGCCTCTCTTGGACCAGGTCGGCGTGTTGTCGCACGCGTGGGCAGCGGTCCGTGCGGGTCACCCCGGGGTAGTGGCATACGTTGCACCCTTCCCACTGAGCGCGGGAAAGGGTGCCCCGTGGGAGGCCTCGCTCTCTGGGGGTCAGAGGCAACCCGTTTCTACGGTTCGGGGCGGACCACAATGGTCTTTCAACCGTGGAGTCCGCACCCGTGGGGCCTAAAACCACATTGATGTGGATGGGCCCCGTTGCTTGACCGCCCTGGCTCCCGTCCACATTTAACACCAGGTTTACCCCGCACGTTTGCGGGCCCTGGTGCGACGAGATCCCCGACCTGGTTTCCGGAGCCGTTGTCCTGGCTCCGGCGATCGGAGACTGGGGGAGGCTCGTGGGATCGCCACTCGCCGGGCTCTCGTGGCGCTGCTGTACCTCTCTGATCGCCGACGCGAACTGACGACGGCGGGACACCACCTTATCCCAATGATCTAAATCGTCCGGGTGGTGTCCCGCGGCTGTGTACATGTCATATTCGGCGTACACAGCCCGTTGGAGGGTGTTGAGGGTCGCCCAGCCGTGGTCGACTTCCCTCAACCCCTCGACGATGTCCTCCCAGGTCTGCCCGCCAGACGGGGGTGTCTGACTGGTGAACCTGGGGCGCCAGGTCGCGTCGGCGGCCCCCTCCTCCGTCTGGGTGCCGATGGTCGAGGTTGGGGCCTTCCGGGGGATTGGTCCCGCTGGGGGCCCGGGCAGCGGTGCGGCGTCACCACGTGCGATGCCGGGGCTTGTCGACGGCATCGCGGTCGGCTCTTCTGCCGGGAGCTCTTCTATGAGCACGGATGACGAGCTCTCGTGAGCTCGCACCCGCGCTCGCTCCTCTTCCTCCTTCTTTGCGGCGAGCAGGTGGAGGGCGGCATGCACCACCCCCTCGACGGCGGGACCTAAGTCCAAGCCGATAAGGGCGGCTGCCGCTTGCTCGAACTGTTCGAGCGTGATCTGCATCCTGTAATGACCCAGCAATTTATTATCCTGAATATCATTGGATATCGAAGGTGGGCGCCTGTTCGGCTGCCCAGGACCGTCGTCGCCGGATTCGAAGGTGGGGTCCTTGGCGTCGGTCTCCCAGGTCCTTCGTTCGCCGTGTATCATGCATCCACGGTTGTCGCTTTCGGTGGTCTGCCCCTCTTCCTCTTCACGATGATGGGAGGAGGGGCTCGTGTTGTTTGTCGATGTTGTGTAGTGTGTGTAGGTCGCGCGGACTCACGAGGTCTTCCTCGTGGGCGCTTCGTCGGGTTAGTAGGAGGGATATCTAGTGGGACCTGGCCGGGGGGATTACGGCGAGTACGGCGAGGTGATTTCGGAGTTGTCGCGTCGTCGTTTCGGAGTGTATTATCTGAAGTGTCGGCGCTCCTGTTTCCGTGTATCGATGTATCGCTCGCGTTGGGCGGGACGCTCATCGCCTCGGTTCCCTCGGTGGTAGGGGTCTCGTCGTCATCTCGTGTTCGGGATTCATCCTCCGGTGTATCGTCCTCTTGTCCATAATAGGGTTTGAGGTCCTTAGCGTGTATTAGCTCCGTGACCTCCTCCTGTTGGTTGGCGAGGCGATATGAGTTGGCGCCGAGTACCTTCGTGACGATAAAGGGGCCTATGAATTTGGGTGCTAGTTTCGCGGAAATGCCCTGCGCCGCGCAGGACAGTATGCGATTCTTTTTCCACACCCAATCACCTTCTTTAAACCTGCGGTCCCTGTGCTTGGCATTGTAGTACTTGGACTACCTCAGGGACTCATCCGAGGCGCTCTCGTGAGCTTGCTGAATGACGGAACGGCTATTCTGCATGTGCTCGTTCCTTTGCCCGATTCGAAGCAAACTCTCCTCTTGTGCTGCGAGCTCGTCCATCCGTTTCCGAAGAGTATTCGGGGCTCCCGGTTGTCTGCCGTAATTGAGCATGGCCGGACTAACCCCGGTGGAACTATGGACGGCCGTATTCAACGCGAACATGAGTTCGGGTAGCGCTCGGTCCCATTCCCTATGATTCCCCTGCAGATACGACGTTATCATCGTCTTCAAGGTACGGTTAACCCTTTCCGTAGGGTTAGCCTGCGGGGTATAGGTTGGGGTGAAGGTCCGTTTTATCCCCTGATCTCTCAGGTACCCGTCCACCAACTGATTGCGGAACTCGGTGCCGTTGTCGGACAAGAAGATCTTTGGCGTGCCGAAACGTAGGATTATTCGTTCCCGAAGTTCCTTCACGATCGTCTTGCCATTAGCACTACGTATGGGTATACATTCGACCCATCGTGTGAATACGTCGATGAATACCAGGACGAATTCGTGCCCTCGTGGGCTCTTCGGAAAGGGTCCGGCGATGTCGCCCGCGACCACTTTGCCAAGGCATAGACCATGTTCGGTCCTGCATGAGCCCGCGCGGTGGTCGCTGCTCGACCTTGCACTGTTGGCAGACCTGGCACTTTCGGACGTATCCCTTCACATCCGTGTACATTTCCGGCTAGTAATAGGACTGGGCGACGCGAGCGAAGGTCTTCTCGCGTCCTAAGTGTCCTGCCGTCTCTAGGTCGTGATTTTCGAACAACACCGCTTTGCGTTCTTCCGGGGGCACGACGAGTTTCCATTCGTCGCCATATCCGTCTCCTCCTTGATGATCGTAATTCGGCTTTCGGTGATACATCACCCTGCCGACAACCTTCCAATTCGGGTATTGCCCTGGTTGGTTCTCGACGCGTCGGAATTGATCCGTGTACCAGGCGCTGTCCCTTGGCTTCGGCTGGTCCATTGCGCCAACTTCTACCTTCGTGGGCTCGAAAGTGCGTGATAAGGCGTCGGGCAACACATTGTCTGCCCCCTTTCGGTATTCAATCTCGAAAGTATGGCCTTGAAGTTGCAAGGCCCATCGGGCGAGACGTCCAATCGGGTTTTTCAGGTTGTATAACCATTTCAGGCTATTGTGGTCAGCTACCACCCTGAACGGGTACGCTTCTATGTATGGGCGAAATTTTTGGATGGCCCACACGACCGCCAAGCATTCGCGCTCCGTAGCTGAGTAGTTTTGCTCAGCCGAATTAAGGACTCTGCTAGCGTACTCTATGATTCGGTCGCCGTCTCCTGCTTTTTGTATCAGGACGGCCCCGATTCCGGTAGCGCTAGCATCTGTCTCCAGCACGTACTGCCCATCGGGTTCCGGTAATCCCGGGCATGGTGCGGACATCATGAGTGCCGTAATTTTGGCGAAGGCTTGTTCCTGTTCCTCTCCCCACACATATTCGCTCTTTTTTCCTGTTAACCTCGTTAACGGTTGAGCGTGTGTGGCGAAGTCGGTCAAGAATCTGCGGTACCATGAAGCAACCCCCAGGAAGGTGCGCAGCTGCCGCACGTTTCCTGGTCGTGGGTACTCCATGATAAAGCGCACCTTTTCAGGGTCTGTCCTGATCCCCTCGCGGTTGGTATATATATATATATATATATATATATATATATAATATCACCAACAATTGCTTATTGTCTAAATAAATGAGACAGATTGTAAATTAACTTGGGTAATAATTACAAAAAAAGTCAGTGCTTTAATAAATTATTTCATAACATTAAGCATTATGTATAGAGAACGAATTAGAATCTTCGATGGATCTACTATCAAGAAATCTCATTAATGATTTTGTGAAATACGTGAGTTATTCGTGATATTGATGATCACTCATTTCAACAGTAATGTTGCGACCTATCTCAACTATCTCATAGACATAAATAACAAAGATATTTGAGGAATCCTGACTGCTGTCCAAGTAACTAGTTATAATTTTCAAATTTCCATAAATCTGCTGTAAATGATTCTCATATTTAATTTTTTGTAAAATAATGTGTATATTATGGTATTTTTCTTACATGACAGTTGCATTAGCAATAGGTAGTGGATTATATACGTTCACGTTGTAAAGTAAGACTCCCTCGATACTTCACTTATAGGAGTCAATGAAAAGTCTTCAATCACTAGCTCTGTACGAATCTTCTTTGAACTGTTTCATAAGGCCTTCGACGTGATTATGAATTCTGTAACGGAGAATCACGATGTAGTCGATATTCTACCGTTGAGCTGATGAGGTCAAATAGACTCCGGATTTGACGTCAGACAATCATAATACTATAGAATATCTGTAACTCTACTTCAAATTCGAAAATTATTCTTTGTTTTGAATGCCTGTCTAATTTATTTGGAGTGAACTTAAGATTGCAGTATACAAATGTTATATTCAGTATAGATACTTAAAAAAAGTATGTTAATATCAACGCGTAATGATTTGACTTACTTATGTGCTTTAAGATCAGTTTTCACTATTAGTCGAGGATTAGTTTCTCGACGATGTGGAGTAACTGCTTTTGGTTTTACTTTGAGTTACCATATATAGCGACAAAAGTGACTGTCGCACAGAAACGAGCTCCTACTACTAAAAACGAACTATGAAATAATCCGACGGTTCGAAGGTCGCTATTCGTTGAGTATATTTTCATTTCAATTTTATCGTTTTTGAATGAGATGGAAAGGGAAGAGGGAGAGTTTACTATTCTTTAAAAGTGATGAAGTTTGATTTCTTTTGAATACGATAGAAAAAAATTATTGACATATATCAATGCTAGTATTGATTAAATCATGCTTGATTTATCGTGTAACAAACTATACTCACAACTGTAAATTCATGTTCATTCAATTTTCCGTCTTTATCAATGTCAGCTAAATCCCAAATTTTTCCTAAAGTTTCAAGAGGCAACTTACTATCCATCAGTACACCTTTTACTTTATTACCTGGAATATATCCATTAATTGGTTCTAAACTCATAAACAGTTGCTTATATTTCGCACGTTCAAGAGGATTGATAGCCCAACAAGTTTTACTTTCCGATCTTATAGATATCATCTTTCCAGCCTTAGATTTAATTACATCTAGATCTTCACCCTAAAAAAATTACATTTACATAATAAAGTGCATCATTTAATTTTAATAATAATAATATTAATATCAATAAATCTTATCTAAGTATCAATCCATCAAAAATAATTGGATTAGATGATAAACTCAAAAATTTTTTCTGAAGTACTGTAAAAATAACTTGAATAATACAGGTTCGATATAAGGGTTTGATATCTCGCCATGATCTTCAAAACAAAAGCTAAAATTGGTACTAGGACATTCAAAGTGTGATTAAAAAAATCATTCGAATATCAGTGAAAATAAGCCACATGACAGTGAGGTATATTAGGAAATTACGAGGGGAGGTCAATAAGTCTTTACAAAATCCAAGAGATGGCGCTCGTCACGCTTAAATTATGATGTTTTTAGCAAGCAATACTACTAACTAGATATCGTACAAAGTTTCAGTACGATTCATTAAGTCATTTTATTGTGAGCGTTGGTTGAACAAAAAGTTATTGGTTTCTTTGAAAAATAGAAAAAAAACAGTGTTTCGAGCGGTGATAAAACATTTTCATTTGAAAGGCCTTACACCAAAAGAAATCACAGTTGAGTTGAACGCCGTTTATGGCAAGTCTGCCCCTGTGTTTAAAACTGTTTATAACTGGGTAAATGAATTTAAACGCGGCTGTACAACAACGAAAGATGAATCTCGTTCAGGACGCCCTGTAGAAGTAAGTACGCCCGAAATGGTCAACAAAATCCACGATATGGTGTTGAGTGATAGAAAATTAAAATTGCGAGAATTAGTTGAGGCCCCAGGGGTATCAAAGGGTACAATCATTTCAATTTTGCATGAAAAATTGGGGATGAAAAAAATATCAGCAAGATAGGTGCCACGTTTGCTCACTGTTGAAAACAAACGAACCCGCGTGGTCACCTCTGAGGCTCGTTTGGCACGCATACGTCATAATCCGGAAGACTTTTGGCATCGACACGTAACTGTAGACGAAACATGGGTACACTGCTACATTCCTGAAACCAAAGAACAGTCCAAACAATGGATTACCGCAGGAGAACGAGCCCCAAAGAAAGCAAAGACAGTAAAGTCAGCTGGCAAGATTATGGCCACGGTTTTCTGGGATACGTGTGAAATCATCTACATCGACTACTTGGAAAAGAACCAGATGATCACAGGACAATATTATGCGTCATTATTAGGTTAGCTGGAAGAAAAAATCAGAGAAAAACGTCCTCACTTGAACAAAAAAAATGCCTCTTTCTTCAAGACAATGCTCGAGTTCACACGTGTGCAGTTTCGTGAGCAAAAATTAACAATTTAAAGTTCGAATTAATTGACCATCCATCATATTCGCCTGATTAGGCTCTCAGTGACTTTTTCTTATTCCCTAACCTCAAAAAATGGCTTGCCGGACAACGATTCATGTCGAATGAAGAAGTCATCGCCGAAACAAATGCCTATTTTGAGGGTTTTCAGAAATCATATTTTTCTGATGGCTTAAAAAAATTGGAAGGCCGTTTAATAAAATGTATCGACCTTCAAGGAGATTATGTTGAAAAATAAAAAAAAATTACACACGCAAAACTGTTTTTTACTTCTTTTGGTAAAGACATATTGACCCCCCTCGTATCTTTATAAAGAAAAAGCCATAACCCGACATCATCGACTTATTATGATATGCTGTAGATTTTAAAAAAATAAGTAACATGTGTTGTTTTTTATTTGAGGGGGTATAATCCACGCTTAAAATGTAACCTTAGAAATGAATTTTACAATTTATTTCAAGTTCTAATTGATATTTTACAATGAAATAAATTTCATAAGGCAGAACTAATGTATGCAGTTCGAACCATAGGCTATGCAAATTTTTTTTTTTAATTGACAGTCTTACCATTTTTGTATTTATTATGAAGGAAAAAACTTTTAAATAAGCTAAAACAACTGAAAAATATATCATAGGTTGATTACAATAATAAAATGATCCATTAGAGATTATTTTCAAAATATCCTTAAAATGAAAAAAACACTTTTAAAAAACGTTTTTCAATATTCTACAGGTTCTAAAGAATAATTTACTTGAGATATATTGTGTATTGTTTTAAATGTATAATTAATATTAACACATGTACTTTCGACTTAAGGGTTGTAGTCCCTATTTTTTCAACAGAATTTCTATCTCTTTGTGCCTATTTTCATGAATAAAAATCAGAAGATGCTAAAAATATCGGGAAAAAGTATTTTGATTGACTGAGTTGAGGTGGTTAACCTTTTTGAAATTATTCTTTAATTCACTCTCATAATTTAAGAAACCCTTTAAAAATCGATTTAAATAGTAAAATATTATACTAATACAAATCGTCTGAGGATGTTGATTTTGGGAAATATGTATTAGCATCAAAATAGAATTAATTTGTAATAGAGTTAATTTTATGCTTTATAAATTGCAATAAAAAAATTGGCAAAATATTACAAGTATAAATTTTTGAATACATTAAAATGATATAATTTTCATATACGACATTATAATATATCGTACTTCCAATTAAAATAAGTAAAGAATATTATTAGGATTTAGTTATTGCATATACTTGTTATAATAATGATATTTCTCATAAAAGTCCTTCAAACCCAATGATTTTTTGCATCAATTGCAATGTATAATATACTGATAAAAACCGTGTGAGCATATGAATTATGAAAAATATATATGTGCATCCAAATAGAATTCATTCGCAATAGAATTAATTCCATGTTTCATAAAGTAAAATGACAAAATTTATAATGCGTCGAGAAAACGATACTATTTGTTTAATAGTTAATCAATCAACAAGTCTGTTGAATAATACGTTAAATAAAAAGAACGTTTCCTTGGCTACTAATAAAGATTTTGCATGATAGCGAAAAGTTGTAAGGTTTGGAGGGGGTCAACCATCGGTGACCTCAGACTTGACCTTGAACTCATTTCAAGTTCATTTCAAGGTCAACTTTATTTTTTTAAATAGGACCCCCTATTTTTGACACTCTATTAAGAAAGACCAGGAAATTATACGTCGAAAACGATATTTCCAACATTTTTTTATGACTTTTACAAAGTGATATCAAGGTCATATACTAAAAAATTCTGTGGTTGCTATTTTATAGCATTTTATGATAGAGTAATCGTGATTGGTGTACTTTCACGAGAAATAACCCTTAAATAACTTAAGAACCAATACTAGAAACCTAATAACTCATTGTGATGTTCGTATCACCTATAAATAATTCGTACTCTCGTATCTAGTTGCGCTAATGAGTAAGAATTCGTTTCTAATAAATTTACTCTAATTGTCAATAATATAAATAGATAAATCAAATATAAGCTAATAATAATAAAATGGAAAAATCAAATATATACGAATATGAATGAGGTTTCCAGGAAAGTCAGACTATGCCCAAGTTTCTTATGGTGCGAATTGTCCCATAAGCAGAGCTAAAGTCTTTCTTGGATAGGATATAATTCAGCCCAAGTTTCTTATAGCGCGAGATGTTCTATAAGTTGAGCTCGAATTATAGGAAAGGAAAGGTCTTGCTCAGTTAATTACAATGAGAGAAAGAACTTAGGTATTAGCCAAGTTTATTCAATCTCATGCGCTCACTTTGCAAGGCTAGAAGTGAATACCAGCCTGTGCAATAGTGGGCGTATTTATACACAGATTGTCCCACCTATTTTTATAGAAGCGTTTTATTCGAGAAGTTTTCGAGTATTCGAGATACATTCGCGAATTTTGAGAAATGAGTTTTCTTAATTTACATTAATAATGAGCTTTCAACACATGTGAACTTTACAGAATTCGTTATTTGATGATTTAGTGTAATTTACAATTATCGCTAATAGTGTCGTCAAAATTTATTTACTAATAAAGTTAATTAATGTAATATTACAATATTTACAATAGAAAATTATTAAATTTTTACATAACTTTATAGTTTATTAATTCTAGAAGTATTTTCTAAAAAGAAATATTCAAATTAGTTAATAACATTTGAATTATAACAAATTTTCATATTTGTAACAGTTTTTTCTATAATCACATAACGTAATTATTATATTAATTATCGAAAATTTATAAATTATAAAGCTGTCATTATTAAGTATACAATTAACGCTTTCGTTCTAGATACAACTTATTGTTTAAATAAGTTATTAATTGTTTATTTATTAATAACAGTTATTATTAAGCTGTTATTAATGAAACCAATTCTTACTCATGATCTTTAGTTATTCATTTTGCATATGGACTATTTACATTTTTCTAATAATTCATATTTTTAGTGTAATAAATAAATTAACTTTGCATATTAAAATTCCTTATTATTTAATAATTACACGCAATTTGTATTACTATATTCTAAATCTACGTACTAAAATCTATATAAGAAATTTTTTGTTATATCAAAATTACATCTAATTAACGTATTTTTCTCAAATAACAGAAATCAATATATCTATATCTATTACTTTGTGACGTCACGCTCCTTATTTTGGTTATGGAATTAGACTCTTGTACTAATACAATCGAATAATCGGGGAAGTGGCGCCGTTTAATGTGCTAATTTGAGTAAACATGTAGATGCGTTTGACGAGTTGCGGTGATTCAGTGACATAATAAATAGCTCATAGATACGACCGTTACATCATTATTACCCAATAACTCATAAGATAGAATATCATAAAATCAAAAAATAATATTAACATGCAACGATTACCGAAAATCGTTCGACTCGCGCGAGGTTAATAAGCGGCTGAACGAGAAAAGCCGCGATCGGTTCGCGAGAGAGAGAGGGCGCGTAGGGGCAATGACCGGGAGGAGAGAGTTCAACAGGCAGTATGACTGTGTCACTCAGTCCGTCTGCATCGAGCTAACCTGTTCCTTCGTGCCGTCATCGCGTTTCTTTTGGTGGTGCGAGATTAGCGTCGAGAACTTGAGTGCGGTGTGCTGAGTGCGGCGAGAGCAGCAGCAACAGCAGCAACAGCAGCAACAAC